AAGTATAAAAAAGCAAAAGACGGCTGGGCGAATAAAGTAGTTTTCAGCGGTTTGCATCAGGCCAATACACCACAAAAAACAAGAATAAAACTAACACAGGATATTTGCATACGATGAATCAATGAAGTGAATTGGCCGGACAATGATATCAAGTGACTGCACTGGCTAGAGCAACATTAGTGGATGGGTTAAGCGTGGCGTGGTTACCCCGGGCGGCTTGTGGTCATGATAGATGTAGAGCCTGTACAAATTTCTTTTGCGCACATAAGTTGGGGTTATGGAGCCGAATAGCGATTGCCTCCGCTGTCGCTAATAGGCGACATTGGAGGGCTCGCATGTGGCGTCCAGATATCCAGTAGACAGGCTGGAAGGCCTGTTGTATATTGGCTTGATGATTTGAGTCAACCAAGTGCCACAGCACCGCGCCGGCTACTGTCTTTCTGACACCAGTGGAGAGTCACGCCGGGCAATGTTCCCGGACTCTCTCAGACAGTCACTTGCTCGACACGAGCAAGAAAAGTGAAACATACGGAGGGAAATATTCGATCTCGGTGTCCTCTCCTTGAAGTGTTGACTGATGACTGGCGTAGAAGTGAAGCTGACACGGAGATCAGCTGCAAAGTAGGTTCTCGCGGTTGCATTGCAGAGACTTCGAGTAGTTCGTTCTGATATCACAGTACCCTTGAAAAGCAGTGATAAACAGAGTAAACGCTTTTCTGCGGTAATTGCTTGGACTTTTGGCAATTGTGGCCCCAGGTGCCTCCGGATGAATTTGTCTGGGTAACCATTTTGTTCGAGAAGGCTTCGAATGAAACTCAACTCATCCGACAGCGTGTCTTCAGTGCATATTCTCCTCGCTCTTTCCGTTAGACGAAGGACGAGGTTTCCTTTTTGATTCATTGGACCGAAACTGGCGATATGGATATACTGGCCGTTCCAAGTTGTCTTCCTGTGTACACTTCTTTGTACTGTCTCGACCGATGTCTTGATGATGTGGACATCTAAGAATGATAAGGAGTTGTTACTTACAAGTTCTGTAGTGAACACTATGTTGTTGTGCACAGCACTGAAGTGTGCTAGCAGATTGTCAATAAATACCTGACCAACCGCAACACAAAATGCCATTGGAACGGACAAATTAACTTGTTCAACCTATCTGATTTCCCCTACTGATTGACCCTGAAACGACCAATCACTACCCCTTGAGTGCCTATTGGACTTCGTATGATAAAAACTAAGTTACTTGGTTTCTCATTCACATTTGGACCTAGATTAACCAGAAGAGTTTACCCAACTTGCATCGCTCAATGGTTAAGCTTGCTACTCCCGCCTTTTGTCTTACTCCTTGTGCGTGTTATACGGCCCAGTTAGGCACTCAGCTTCATTAGCCTGTACTGGTCCCGTCCTACTTCCTTTGTTTGTCTGACCGAACTCTTAACTGTCTCATTCGACGTATTCACCTTACGCCTTTTTCCTCCTTTGGTCCATCCCGCCGCTTGGCTGATCGATTAACGATTGAGCACATCGCTTTAAACCACGCTGACATTAAAAACGCTCCGCTTCATTGTGCTTATGTGTTGACTATTGCTGCTGACAGTATGTTGCATAGGAGAGCCGAATTATTGTACTCATTTGGTCTGGAAAATGTTTGAGGTTTGTTATTAAATCGTTGTCTAACCATTTGTAAATAGCACCTTAGCTCTTCCGACTTTGACTTTTGGATTGACCCGATTGCGCTAGGAGTTGTCCAGGTTCCAAGACTGATTTGTCGGTAAAAGTAATCAACATATCGACCGTAGTAAACCGAGTTGTTGATACATTCGTTTAGCTAAGTGTTCTCCAACTTACTCCTAAAGACATCAGCGAGTAGCGTTCCTAATGGTGAACCCATAGCTACCCCGTCTATTTGCCTGTAAAACGTCCCATTGAACTGAAACGGAATGTTCTTAGTGCACGCCAGCATAAGTTGCCTTAAACGCTCATTTGGGATACCGATTCTGATGCTGTGAAATTGGATAAACTCGCAGAGATTATCAATGGTCTCTACGAACGGGACGTTGGTGAAAAGTGACCCCACATCTAGCGAGGACATCTTCCATCCAGCTAGTTTGAGTTGCTGCACCGAAACAAGAAATTCCAGTGTCCAGGAGGCTGAACCAGGATATGGCTTTCATTTGCGGCTCGAGTCGTTTAACAAGCCACTTAGCAATCAAATGATAGAGAGAGTTGTACATGTCCAGTATCGATCTAAGCGGTACACCCTGATTGTGGATCTTAGGTAAGCCATAAACCCTCGGAACCACTGTTGCACTTGGTCTGTCGTACTCAAAAGTGTCAGAGTCTATGATGTTATCTTGTCACAAACGCCGCAAAAGTGTTCTCATGGTCTTCACAATTGCCGGCATCCTGTCTTTGTCGTTTTGCACTTTTCGGAATTTCGATGCCTCTCCTTGGATGGTGTTCATTTTATCAAGATAATCTGAATTGTTCATCAATAAGATCACGGCACCTTTATTCGGCCTAGATAACAAAACATTCTCGTTTTTTGGGTTCCTTCAGAGCGTCCAAATGCCTATTTTTTAGAATATATTTGATGGTCGATTTGTACCACATGTACTGGTAGCATGTGTTTACTAATGTGGATTTGTAATGCTCAGCTGCGAATGCTGAGGATGATGTCAGGCTAGAAACTTGCGAATAGTGATTTTCGAATTGGACTTCCAAGTCTAACTGTTGTACATTAGCTAGGTGTTAACAGAACTTCGGGCCAAGTGAGAGGACTTCGATCTGTGCTCTATCTAATTGCAAATAAGAGAAATTGTGCACGTATTTCTCAGGGTCAGGTGGAAATGGGTTACTCGGCTTGTTAGAAACGATCTGCCGCTGTAATCAGGCTATTCTTACTTTCACTTGCCAAGAAATAATTCGTTGAACGAATAACTCGAACTGATTGAATTCATCGCCCAATTCACTCAGTGCCTTAGAGTAGATACACAGGTTGCGATCAAGCTCAACAATCCGAGGAACAATCGTGTCTCGCTAGTCCAGGGTGTGACGCATCAAAGCAGTGCTTCTTGAATTAACTCCATTACATCTGAGAATATTCCAAAAGTGCTTGGGATATTCACAAAATACAACGCACTCATCCAAAAAATGTACTGTCGTCTTGGCTACCGCAAGCCCTGTGCTGAACCTAAGGTATTGGTTAAGTTCTCTCAACACAGTGAGATCCTTGGACTGTTACAACGGATAAAATAATCCCGGAGAGAATATAAGAAGCAAAAACGGCAAGGATTGATGTAAACAACTCAAACTAGCTGAACGGAAGATGTTTTCGTTAGATGTGGCGTCACTTTTCACCAACCTCCCGTTAGAAGAGACCATTGATAATCTCTGCGAGTTTATCCAATTGCACAGCATCAGAATCGGTATCCCAAATGACCGTTTAAGACAACTTATACTGGCGTGCACGAAGAACATTCCGTTTCAGTTCAATGGGACGTTTTACAGACAAATAGATGGGGTAGCTATGGGTTCACCATTAGGACCGCTACTCGCTGATGTCTTTAGGAGTAAGTTGGAGAACACTTAGCTAGACGAATGTATCAACAACTCGGTTTACTACGGTCGATATGGTGATGACAAATTTCGTGTTGCAGTTGGTCAGATATTTATTGACAATCTGCTAGCACACTTCAATGCTACACACAACAACATAGTGTTCACTACAGAACTTGTAAGTAACAACTCCTTATCATTCTTAGATGTCCACATCATCAAGACATCGGTCGAGACAGTACAAAGAAGTGTACACAGGAAGACAACTTGGAGCGGCCAGTATACCCATATCGCCAGTTTCGTTTCAATGAGTCAAAAAGGAAACCTCGTCCGTCGTCTAACGAAAAGAGCGAGGAGAATATGCACTGAAGACACGCTGTCGGATGAGTTGAGTTTCATTCGAAACGTTCTCGAACAAAATGGTTACCCGGACAAATTCATCCGGAGGCACCTGGAGCCACAATGGCCAAAAGTCCAAGCAATTACCGCAGAAAAGCGTTTACGCTGTTTATCATTGCCTTTCAAGGGTGCTGCGATATCAGAACGAACTATTCGTAGTCTCTGCAATGCAACCGCGAGAACCTACTTTGCAGCTGATCTCCGTGTCAGCTTCACTTCTACGCCAGTCATGAGTCAACATTTCAAGGAGAGGACACCGAGATCGAATATTTCCTTCCGTATGTACCACTTTTCTTGCTCGCGTCGAGCAAGTGACTGTCTGAGAGAGTCCGGGAACATTGCCCGGCGTGGTTCTGCACTGGTGTCAGAAAGACAGTATCCAGCGCGGTGCTGTGGCACCTGGTTGACTCAAATCATCAAGCCAATATACAGGAAGCCTTCCAGCCTGTCTACAGGATATCTGGACGCCACATGCGAGCCCTCCAATGTCGCCTATTAGCGACAGCGGAGGCAATCGCTATTCGGCTCCATAACCCCAACTTATGTGCGCAAAAGAAATTTGTACAGGCTCTACATCTATCATGACCACAAGCCGCCCGGGGTAAGCACGCCACGCTTAACCCATCCACTAATGTTGCTCTAGCCAGTGCAGTCACTTGATGTCATTGTCCGGCCAATTCACTTCATTGATTCATCGTATGCAAATATCCTGTGTTAGTTTTATTCTTGTTTTTTGTGGTGTATTGACCTGATGCAAACCACCGAAGACAAACTTGTTTGCCTAGCTGATTTTTTCTTCTGATTTCTTTTCCGGGATTATTTTCTCATTAAATTCTAAAGCTTGATGGTGGTCAGGGGACAGAACACTGTGTCCCGATGCTAGTTGCGACAAAAGTTACGCATCTAAAAGGTAAACTGAACGGTTTTCCAGTCCAAAAGATGGAAATGAAAAGCCACTAAAAGATGCGACAAACCTCAATGCTTCGCTTTGGTTTAATGAATGGCGGTGAGCAGTATGTTAATGAACAATGTTAGTGACATACGTGGCAGATGCAGAACACCTGACATCTGTGTTGTTCAGAAGATCGGGGCTGTAGCCAGGAGACTGGAAGACTGCATGGCTTGTATCTGAAACTAGGAGCATGGTAAGAAGCTGAGCAGATTACCAAGATCAGTGAGGGCATAGTCACCCTTGGGAATTGGGTTTTCGTCGTAAACGACGCTCGAGATACCAGAGTCGTAGGAAATTTTGTCCGGAACACGCATTTTGTGTTGTATTTCAGTGCTGTAATCCAGTTCATAAAGAGACAGTTTAGGACTCAAAGGATCCATGCTGAAAGAGTGAGGATACGGTATGAAAATGGGGCAATTACAGACGTCAAGTAACTCGTTATCGAAAAAGGACTGTTCAATATGTGCTGCGTCTAGGGCTTTCCCGGACATGTGGTGTACTATCTGATTTGGAGGATGGTGCGACGAATTCTCAATTAATTACTGTGTCTAAATGGCGACCGTGCGATAAACGGAGATTAGGGCGAATTATTTGCACACTTGATGCGAAGTTTTTCTGTATCGGGCCCAATATCTCAAATTTTAGTAGATGAAGTTAAGTACTGATGAGAGGGATAAAATAATCGAACACATCATCTGTAAAAAGTGATTCTGCCCTTGTGAAGAAGCTTGTGTGTGATGATAAAAGACCTCCAGAGGTTGTATTGATATTTAAACCGGGTAAAGCGTAACATTCATGTCATCAGTGACAAAAATCCAATTCTCGTGAATAGGAGAGAAGGATGAGGGTCAAGCTAGGATATCTGGGAGCACCAGGAGAGAACCCATAAATAGGCTCGGAGAGCGCAATCATTTAGGCAGCTGAATAAATTAGGAGTTATGTTGCGAATCATATGGAACAGTATAAAATTGAAACCGGGAGTTTCGGCGTTTGTGTTCCCATTTCGTTGTACTAATCGGGATTCAATCGGTTGAACTGTCTCTCGTATTAAATCTACGTCAGAGTAGTGCCTTATCTAATACCCCACATTTTTCCATCCCTATTCTGTAATAAAGAATTTTTTGCTTACATCTTGCTGAGTTTTTAAAGCTGATCTTCAAGGTTAGGTTTGTCACCTGATTTCTTTATTTATGATGGCAAGAAAACCATCTGTCCCTCCGAAAACAACTGACAACAAGCGTCAGGTAGCCAACCGTAAGACGAGCACTGCTAAGCTCAGTGTTCAAAACATATTTCGATTCTTCTGACCAAAATGTAAATGTGGTTGTAGGAGATCGCAAGGAAAATAGCAAAATCCGGATAATGAGAGCTGATAAAACTAAAAACACTGCACCGTTCCCTAACCTGACACCTGAAATCGCCATAAAAATCCACAACCTAGAAAAGGAGGTAACTGTATTAAACGAAAAGCTCACAGAAGTGACCCAGGTGCTGGATAAACTGACATCAATATCACACTTAGTGAATGTGCCTGATAAACCGAATGTAAATCACTTGCAAGCAAAAGCATCGATCTTTTCGTCGCTCATCACGGAGATTCGTGAAAGGATAAACCAGGCTAGAAATGTCATTTTTAATATACCAAAAAATACACCTGGAAACTGTGAAGCGAGTCTTGCTCAACGCGATTAACATGAGTGGAACAAACTGTCACCTCATACACCAAAAAGTAAACTCAAAGTACGTGTGTTCAATCCTATTAAAGTCTGGGGAAGAAACTCATGCTTAAATATTTCACAAGAGGAGCTCAACTGCTACCAACACTGATTTCAAACATATGATCAAACTCGATCAAGTGCTCTTACAGAGGGAAATAAGCGCAAAGCAAACCCGATCCGATGAAAGAGCTACTCCCTGTAATACTGTTAGTCACAAAACTGATATAGAAGCCAAAAAACAAGCTACCGTGGATTTAGACTCGTCCCAGTGCACATGATGGTTCTAAAGCTTTTAGTTCAGATTGCACTATGACTTCGACTTTGAATTTAACTGGATAAGCCTTGTAAATGTACTGGCTGTAGTTATACTCTGACAAACACAAATAATCTGGACATGGTAATAAACGATGTTAACGCCACAGCGACCGCAGGGACCAGCGAAGTACTTTCTAGTACCCAAACGGCACCCAAAGTGCAGCTCACTGATTACGGGCAAGATGACAATGCAGATCAACTTAAGACCCGTAAACAAGAAATCGCGTCCGAACACCAATGTAAGCTAAGAGCAAGTCGGAACAAAAACAAAGCTATAGAGTCACTTAACGGCAACGCTGCCTTTCATCAGAGGCAGCACGTGACACATAGAAAGCAGACCAGTAATCTCGTGCAACTGGGAAGTTCTACAAGGAATAATCAGCATACCAGCTGCAAAAATATTTCCTCTAACGTCAGACATCAACCTTCGAGTATAAGCAATACGCTTCTCTACTTCGCTTCTGGAAACTTCGGCCAGCCCTTTAACCAGTACACCGCAAGTGTCGGCGGATCTTGATTCTACCACACTGTCCATCTACTGCCCTTTGCTACTGCACCCACAAACATTGTAAACACGAATACGTTCTCTCCGCTGTGCTGAGTACCGTAGAGCCCCAGTGTGTCACCAAACTAAACGTGGCTACATAGTTACCGTAGAAAAAACAACCGTGCATTTGCCCACCATGGGTGAACAAACTAAGCTCTCTCCAAATAGAGACCATGACCCAATCAACAAATGTCAATTACTGTAAACCCTTAACGAGCCCCATTTCGAGGTGACACCAGTCAAGAACACTGTGCCACCTTTATATATAGTAAACTTCATGTCACCCTGCGGATTGCTAGGTATGTGGGATTCACCCCATACTCCGATGGATGCCTCTCTGTGCACGAATGAAAGCAGGTGGGAGAAAACTCCATAAGAATAAATGAGCCCCATCAAGCCACCGTCAAGTTACCAACACGTTCTCCAGTTATTTTTTTTTATTTTTCACGTCGACCGCAAACCAGGCACAGGGTTTCTCCTTAAATCCCACGTCCCATCCTCTACCACCACTAGCCACTTAACACATGACAGTCCCAGTGTAACAGAGGGTAGCATAAATAATATATCATGTAAACACAAAGATTATGCCTTTTATGATGGTACATCCAAATTGGTGCTAATCAATGCCTGTTCTCTAGTACATAAAATGCACTTACCCCGCTGCTTCGTCGCCTTTCATCAACCGCATATCTTTCTTAATACCGAATCGTGGTGTACGAGTGAGAATGCCGACCATCTTATCGCTGGGTTGCCGAACAACTTCCTCGTGGTGCCAGCTGGGTGGTTAGGGATTATCCCGTTTCGGTAGCAGTGTTCCAGCCCGTGGTAGATTTTCGCCTGGCAAGCGTTCTCCCTATATAAAGCAACATATGTCCGTTTAACAACATTGTAACGTGGCGGATGTGACTCTCCACTAAATAAAGTCACTGCCCCTTGCCTCTGAGCGGCATTGTAGTTCAAGGGTGTGTTGGGCCCCTGGTCTTATGCGGTCCTAAAGGTGAATGAACCACTTGTTTGGTCACCGGCTCCCAACGAGTTACGATACCCGCATATCGCTCTGCTGCCTGGTAGGTTAGGTCCTGGATCAAAGGCTCGGTGTGGAGCCCCCTAAGACAACCCTCTACTTTGGCCTGGGTAACCGGGTAGTACCAGGCCCATTGACGAACCATGGATGGATTACACTACTGGTTTCCCACTTGCTATGTCTACTAGCTTTACTGTCTCTGCTGCACAACATCCGCTCACAGACCGCCCCACGTCCCGTTCTTCAACTGCACCTGTACCTTCCCCGGTCACCGTCAACAACAGTTCACTGGCCGCATCTAACAGAGTTCTGAGCCAAACGTTTGGTGTTCGTTGCCCGATGATCACAACATCTGCACACTCAATCGAAGCCCAAACTTTCCTTTATTCTAGTTCTTCAGTCGGTCTTGCAGCCTTCAATGTGCGCACTCTGATGCGGATCGGACGACAAGCACGTCTGGAACGCACACGTAGTGGACATATGTTGCCTTTCCGAAACCAGGTTGCAAGACGCCAGTCCCGTCATCAGAATGACATCTCCGGCAAACCCAGTCGTCAAATATTACTTGCGCCTTTTCGGAGACCCAGAGGCCGCCACTTCTGGCTAAGCTGGCGTCGAGGTTGCACCAGTCGCTTTGCTTGACTGGATCCCAGTCAACAGTTTGCTATGTGCAGTCAGACTACGAGGTTCATGTAAGTTAAGTAAGCGTTGAGATGTTACGCGTGCCTTGTTTGTCATCTCCGCCTACGCACCTACAGACTGCAGCCCGGATGCAGTCAATGATTGCTTTTACCAACAGCTACATGAGTTTCTGTGTTCCGCTAAGAAGTGTGACATTGTCATCCCTGCCAGCGATTTTAACGCACAAGTGGGCCACCTGCTACCAAGCGAGCACCATCTTGGGGGAAGTTTTGGCCTCGGTAATATATATATATATATATATATATATATATATATATATATATATATAATACACAATCTGTGGTACAGATATTGTGCTATCGGAATCATGGCTGAATAGAAAAACAATAGGAATAATAAGAAAAGAGCAACAAGAATTGCTTTTTTGTCTGTTTTACCACTCACAGTTTTTGACATTTTTTCAGTTTGTTCTTTTTTTAGGGGGAGGAAGAAGGGACACCGCAACAAACCGATGCACACGTCCGCCATTGACATCGATCTTGAGCCATGACTTCCAAGGTCTTCAACCAGCAAGTATCCGCATCTCTCGGACCCCAACCAGGTAGTCGACAACAACCGACCGAAAGCAACTGTTTCGTCAGCTTTTTCATGCGGCTTCTCCATGTTGTAGGCTGTCCACCAGACCGTCTCTTCCAGCCCTGTCCAGCAAGTGCAAACAACACACGACGGGGGTAACGCTGGACAGGCATGCGCAATACGTGTCCCAACCACCGCAGTTGATGCAGTGAGACCAGACTCTCGAGCGAGTGGCTTCCACGTCCCAAAACACGCTGTCTAACTTCCACATTGCTTACGTGGTGCTGCCACCACACACGGGCAATGAACCGCAGACAGCGGTGCTTGAAGACGGATAGCCTGCACAAATGGGCCAGGTCTCGCATCCGTACAACAGTACAGCACGAACAGTTGCACAATAGACCTGTCCTTTGATGGAGAGACGAATGTCGTGGCGACGCCACAAATGCCTCAGCCTAGAAAAAGCGAGGCCTGCTCTCGAGATGCGCATCGAAATCTCGTCTCCAACAGCCCCGCCAGCAGTGGTATAACTTCCCAAGTAGACAAAGCTCTCCACAACCTCTAGTGTCTCACCAGCAAGCGTGAGTGCAGTCAGAGGCACCTGCCAGTCTTGGAAGAGAGCCTTGCATTTGGATGGCGAAAAGTACATACCGTACTTTGATGCTTCAATCGCCAAGCAGTTTAATGCAAGTTGGACGACGTGTGGGTCGTCACCCAGCAAGACGATATCATCAGCATAATCCAAATCAACAACTCGACTACCTGGGAGGAGCTCAAAGCCAGCAACCGATTAGACAATGGAGACAGATTACTGAGTCTTTGTTCTGATCATCGCTCATTTCTTTCGAGTACAAGTTTTGTCATTCGAAAAGACATACTGATACCTGGCGTCCGCTTTCTCAAACACAAGAATGGTCCCAGCTTGACCACACAGAAATATGCTACACATAGCGCGGAAGCGTAACAGACTGTCGATCGTACTGGTCAAGTTGTCTGGACTAAGTTCATGCACTGGTTCATGCCAAAATTTGCATGCCTTTCGGAGGATCATCCAGACGTATGCACTATCGATCGAATGTCGAAAATCTGCAAAATACCACAACGTTAGCCAAGTACTAGGCTTCTCTGTCAACACTAGTTTATTCACTCTCTGACGATGGTCCCAATTCGCAATGGGTGTGCATCAAAGACGCTTTAATTTCTGCCAGTACTGTCAGTTGTGGATTTGCTTGTCACATGCCGGAAAGCTGGATCACCACTGTCTCCTCGTCGCTGATGGACGAACGCCGCTTAAGCGCAGCCGACAGCAGCTGTAGTGAGGAACGCCGATCCCTGGATCGAGCGTTGCGCAGCTTACACAATGATCGTGAGACCTGGAGGTGTGAACATGCTAGAGTGCTTGAAGTTGCTAATCTCTCTGGCAATACCAGAAAACTGTTCCACCTCATCCACGTCACCGAAGGCTTCCGATCAGGAATAAGCGAAACAATCTGCGAAGATGATGGCTCCCTAATCATGGATCTCTAACGACGATTGAAGAGATGGGCCGAACATTTCGCTCGCAGTTTTCCTGGTCGTCAGCTCCATCTGTTTCCCCTGGGGCGCGTACTAGTGATGAGTTGACTATCCCAATTAATCCTCCCTCTCACTAGGAAATCTGGCGGGAACTGTTGTCTAAAGCGTTATAAGGCACCCGGCCCTGATGGTCTACCTCCTGCTCTATTTAAAGATAGGGGCTCTTCGCTGGTTCGAGAGCTCATTGCTTTGTTCTCAGAAGTCTGGGCAAAAGAGGAGGTTCCATCATCCTGGAGTCAGTCGGCAGTCGTCCTCATCTTCAAAAAAGGCCTGCGAACAAATTGCTCCAATTCCAGGGGCATAAGTTTGGTTCCCGTTATTTGCAAGATTCTTCTTCGCAGGCTATCCCCAACGCGTGAATCACTACAGTGAGAAAAGGCAGGGTTCCGCCCTGGTCACGGATGCATCGATCAGATGTTCACAATTGGTAAGCCTCTTGAGCGCTTGCATTTGTATCAAAAGCTAAAGATTGTTGTGTTCCTGGATATCCGTGTTGCCTTCGATTCCGTCAACAGGGCTGCATTGTGGCACTGTCCGTTGAGGAATAGTGTTCCCGGGAAGTTTGTTTCCATACTGTGTACTCTGACCTCGGGTAAAGTTAGGGCTTATTGCCTTTCTTTGTTGTCACCAGTGGGGTTCGACAAGGATGCCCTATCTCTCAATTCCTCTTCAACTTTGCCCTTGAGGATGTCCTCAAAAATGCTCTAGAAGATTTGTTGAACGCTGGTGCTGACCCTCACCCAGGTAGTCGATTTGGATTACGCTGATGATATTGTCTTGTTGAGTGACGGTCCGCAGGCTGTCCAACTAGCACTCCACCACCTGGCACTTTTCACCATCCAAGTTCAAAACGCTTTTCCAAGATCGGAATACGCCCCCACCTGCACTCAGCATCGATAAGAAAACGTTAGAAGTTGTCTACCTAGGAAGCTGCATAACTGCTGATGGGGCTGTTGGAAACGAGATTTCAATGCGTATCTCAATAGCTCGTCTCGCTGAGGCATTTATGGCGTCGCCATGACATCCGTCTCTCCATCAAATAACGGGTTTATGGTGCTACTGTCCGCGCTGTACTGTTGTACGACTGCGAAACTTGGCCCGCTCGTATCGAATACCTACACCGACTTTCTGTCTTGGAAAACCGTTGCTTGCGGTCCATCGCCAGTGAGTGGGGGCCGAACCAGGTAAGGAACGCTGTAATCAGACTGCGTGTCATGGGTGGAGACAGCCACTCACTAGAGGCGCTTGTCTTGCTGCGCCAACTACGATGGTTCGGAAACGTACTGCGTATGCCCGTTCAGCGTCTTCCGCGTCGTCCCTTGTTCACGGTTGCTGGACAGGGTTGGAGGACGGTATAGTGGACAGCCTACAACTTGGAGAAGCATTATGAAAAAGCTGACGAAACAGCTGGCCACGGTTGGATCCTCCCGACTCTCTGGATGGTGTCCCAAGGATGTTGAGTGCAGTTGGTTGGAAATGTTGGAAGTTATAGCTCGAAACCGAACTCAGTGACAGGCGTGTATCTCTGCACGTTGCGGTGATGCGCCTTCCCAGCGCCAACAAAAAACCGCAAAAAACTCAAAAACTGTGATTGGAAAAATGGACAAAAAATTGTTTGGTTTCTTTCCGTTTACTCTAACCCTGCTTTTCTATTCGCCTTGCCTCGGATGTCACAATATCTGTACACAGAGTGAGCAGTATATATATATATATATATATATATATTATATATATATGTATATATATATATATATATATATATATATATATATATATATATATATATATATAGGCGGGAGAGCCTATGGTGCGCTGAGGCTGGTGGTGGCTAGATCCTGACAGATGGTCTACCCACTGCTGCTACTGTTGTGCCATTGGCTCATGTCCTGGGCGCCTCCTCGTGGCGACCGCTGGGTGGGAGTTGGGTTTCGCCCTTCTCCCTGCTAAGATCCAGGACACCAATCCGCATGAGTCAGTGAACTGACCATGTGCTAGACCCGCTGCCTTTCGGGTGTATATTTAATCGAAGGCTTTGGC